TTTTTCCATTATTTTACCACGTTAACCAGTGTTATAGATCATAAGGATGTATTGAACAAGTTTTAGAAAATCTAAGGAGTTATTTAACAGGTTTTGGAATGTTCAAAGACTTATTTGTTTTCAAAAATTGTGTAAGGACTTAATTATTCCAAACACTAAAGTTCATTGGGTTGGGTTGGGTTCAAATAATAGTAACCCAATACCTACGGTTTGAAAATTTTACAACTCGATTAGACATCGATTTGCTTCGGGTTAAGTTATTTCCCGTTGGTCGGATTTTTGAGCACCCCTAGTGTGTAGTTTGGCATCACATTGTGCACAAAACTGTACACTCCCAAACCTTTTGTAATATGTGTTCTCATGCTTATTCATAAACATAAATTAGTTGAACCAAGCATTTGGCAACGGGGGTCTCGAGATGTAGACTTAGTTATGATATTTGCTTTGGAAAACGTTTGACCCTGTTTCATACAGATGAGAACAAGATAGCAGGCTTGAAACCTGCAGGCACACATGTAGACATATGTTATTTGGAAAAAGAAAACACTCGATGCACCATTTCAACATATATGTTTTAGTAATAATGAACCATATCAGTTGTTTGATACCATGAATATTTGTGTATCAGGTCATAAGTAACCAAAACAGTGAATGATCTATTACCATGAAGACACTTGCCTCACTATGTGAACATGAATGTTATTAGATGTACATATGTCTAAACAATGAAGACATGTAAACGAATACAAACAGTCATGTATGGAAACGCTATATGGAAAACAAATGAAACCATTGAATCTGATTCCTACAGAGTTCACCATTAAATCTGATTCCAACCCTTTGGGGTTGTTTATGGTTTGTTTTTGAATCCAATCTTGGTTTAGGTTTTGCTTCTCAATCCATCTATAGAACTTCAATTTTCTTTTCGTAAGATCTTTTTAGAATGGGAAAAGTCTAAAAAATCAATGGACTTTTATTGTTTGAAATGATTAAGTTCTTGGATATTTTTTTGGTACAAATAAGTCCTTGGACATACCAAACCTATAAAGTAACTCCTTCGACTTTCTAAAACCTGGTATATACATCCTTATAACCTATAAAACTGGTTAATGTGGTAAAATAATGGAAAAAATCTGAAAAAAGCCAATAGGCTTTCATATTGGAACGATTAAGTCCCTAAACATTTTTTGAACCAATTTTAAATTTAGTTGAGATTCATGTGTTACTTTAGTTGATTAAAATTTTAAATGCAACAATGTTTTTCCTTACTTTTTGGTTCCACATTTATTAATTAATTGCTAGTGATCAAGTTTATAGATTTATAAGAGTTATATTTTTTAGGCTCGTTAAACCATGGGCAAGCCCGACCCGTTTATAGGGCGGGCAATGGCAAGTTGTCAAATTCAAAGAAAAAAAATAGAGCCAATTGACCAAAAGCTATCATCACAAAAGTGTCTCAATCAAGGAATTAGTATAGCGTTCCCAAATAAAAAGGGGATAAATAACAACCTACTAATAGAAACTATTCTAAGTCTAGATTATAGACGAGTGTTTCTATCTTTTCCCAAAAGAATCCTGACTAAGTATATATAAAGCCAATTGATCAAAAGCTATCATCACAAAAGTGTCTCTATCGACATCCCATCTCTTCGCTTAAGATTTCGGAGCACCACCACTATGACGGGGGAGACCCGGTTTTCCATGGTTAATGGAGGAACACAAAAGTAGACCATAATCCCATGTTATAGAGCTCACGTAAAGATCAACGACCAATGAGTTCAACCAACATGTGATTTATAATTCAAGACCTCCCATGATCCTAGTTACATTCTTTCACTAGAAGTTACATCAAGCGGACAATGGCTAGAGTTCAACCAACCTGTGATTTATAGTTCAAAGCCTCCAATAACCCAGTGTCCAATTCTAGTTACAAACGAGGAGATTATCCCCCATTAAATCAACTCGACTCCCATGCCTATGGATCTATTTGCAATAGTCTAAAATTTGTCTCAATTAAAAAGTGACCAGCTATAATCATTCATACGGTTCTCATCATTTAAATGTCCCCGTAAGATCATTTAACACAAGATTTACCAAATAGGACAATCTTAATAACTTCCAGTAAACCATTTCATCACCATTTTCCAAGAGTTCATAATTTCAAGAATAGTCTTGATTCGCTCTTCTTAATCCAAAGATACTCATTTTCATAAAATACTTCCAAATATGCAAATATTAAGAATATTCATAACCACAAGGGTGGTGCATGATTAGTTTGAGTTTGGCTCCAAAGGTCAAAAATACTTGGAGGTCTCAGGTTCAAATCCAAGATCCCCTTGTAGCCTAGAAGCCAAGTATACTGATGAAGAAGAGGTCTAGACTTTGAATCTCCACTTTAGATCCTTGAATCCTTGAGTTATAGATCTTAAATGCTCCTCAAATGGTCCCCAAAGTCGCCCTAGGACTTGCTCTAAATCGTCTTCAATGAAGAGAGAAGTAAAAGAGGGGAAGTGATTGTTCTAACAACAACAAAATGTGCACGACCCTTCCCGGGCGATCCTGCCATGCAATCGTGACAGTTTCACTGTCGTCGAGCACTATAGCCACAAGTGTACCAAGAGCATCCTCTTCCCGGTGACCCTGATTGGCTATTCTGCCCCTTGTCAGTTGTCGCCATCGTTGGGCACTATAACGCCACTTGTACCGAGAGTTTTCTCCAAATCCCTTAAACTATGTTGTAATTTGAGCACTACGACTTCCACTTATTTGAGGGCTAGTTTAAGTCATTTCTAGTCCATTATTACATCATTTTTCTTGCATAAAAAATATATGACACACTTATCTTTCGTTTGGGAAACATAAAACATCATTATAACATGCTATTAAGCGCTAACTTAAATTTTTCTTGATCTAATCATCACCATCATCATAAATATCACTTGTTACTCGGATTGTTTTTTTGTCCTAATGTTGGTTAAAATGGTTCTATATCTTTTACACTCGGCACTGTCGGATCACTAAGGCCGACTTTCGTCCCTGCACGACGAGATTCTCTGTTACTGGGGTTATTGAGTGGTGGTCCCGCAACTCGCCTGTATGAAGCCGAAATCGCTAGTAAACGCCGGTCAGCCATACAACGGTGAATCCATTCCCGAACCTTATGTTGACATCTCTTTAATTTTAATAACTCAAAAACCACACTAACGAGCTCAAAATATGGTTTATATGAATTCAATCCCTCAAATGACAAAAATATTGAAGAAAATGCTTGAAATGTGTGCTCTCAATGGAAATATCGATCATATCTATAAAATGTCCCTTGATTTAACGGAGGTGTTAGTCGTCAAAACAAATTAAATACCACAAATATCAAATCCACAATAAACATACTATAGAGATCCTAATAAAAAAATCAAACCATAAGGACCAAATCCACAACTCATTCTATAATCTATATTATATTATAAAATATTTGACAAAAACTCTTAAAAACAACTTTTTATGCATGAAGTACCGTATATTTATGTATATTACTTAAAATTCAAGATTACAAGTAACTATGCATAAGTACAACTTATTAAAACTTCATGTTTGAATTCGTGTAACTAACTGCGGATAAACATAATCAAATAGATGATAAACATCTCATTTTTAAATATAAAAAATCTAAAATATAATTAGGATATTTATTAAGTTCTAACAAAATAATTAACTATTATCTTTATAAGAATATTATATTACTAAACCAAACATAAATTATTTCGTTATTGAACTTAAATTAAATTATAATTAAAAAATTACACAAAAATGAGAAATTTTAAATAGTTGATTTGATACTAATATCGATATAATTTTGTCAAATTTTTATGATATCTTCAAATTTAKATTTTRTTCAAAAATAAAAACATCATCGCTTTTTCAAAATCACATAAGACTATATTATAACATCGATTGAGATAAAAAATGAAATGAAATATTAAGATCAAGATGTATCTCGCTGCATTATGCGAGTACCCTTCTAGTTAATAATAAAATCTTTAAAATATAAAATTTGTTGGAATTAAATCTAATTTATTTTTAGATTTTTTAATTTAAAAAAGTTATAAAAAAATCCGTTGAAAATGCTTATTATTAATAATTATTTTATGTATTATAAGTAAAAGTGGGATTTTATTTTAAAACTTCTAACATTCAGATATTATTTTCTTTTCAAATATTAACCCCACCTTTTAATAAAAAATTTAGAAAAGTGTTCGTACAATGTAACGAAATATATCTCGATTTTAATATTTTATTTTATTCATATTCTCTGTTGATTTTATTTGGTTTTATGTGATTTTTAGAAAATGATAATATTTATTTTATTGAAATATAAATTTGAAAAAAAAATATAAATATTAATATTAAATTAACTATTGAAAGCATCTCTTTTTTTGTATAATTTCTTTAATTCAATTTTTTATTTTAATTCAATTTAGATTTAATAACAAAGTAATTTAACTTTGTTTAATAATATAATTTTTATAAAGATAATTAAATATTCTGTTAAAACTCAATGATTATCTTAATTATATTTTAAATTTTTATATTTAAAATAAAATATTTATCATGTATTTGATTATGTTTATCTACAGTTAGTTATACGAATTCAAGAAATGGAGCTTTAATAAATTGTTTTTACTCACAATGTACTTGTAATATTGAATTTTAAGTAATATACATCAATAAACAGTATTTTAAATATAACATATAATTTTTAAGAGTTTTTATCAAATACCTTTGATAAAATAAATTTTCTAAGATTTAAAAAACAAACCGTTACTGCAAAAATATATTTTATGAAGTATCCAAACAAACCCCGGATTGCACGTAAACGAGTGCCTTTTTGATTCCTCCTCTATTTATTGGATTCGGGTCGGTCCAATAGTACGGAAATAGAATAGCCGACCCAACAAGCAAACTGCCACGTGTGCTCTCTCCATTGGTTGTTCTCAAAGCAACTCCCTTGCTCTTCACGTCGACGGCGAACCAGCGATACATGAAAATAGAAGAATCCCAAACAAAACAGTCCTGCATTGAATGATGGATCACCGATTCTTTCTCCTCCTTGCGGTTTCTCTGCTCGCCGTTTTCTCTTTGGTCTCCGGTGACGATGACTTCGTTGGCTCCGGAGACGATGTTTTCATCCGGCAAGTCGTCGGTGACGAAGATCCGTTGCTGAAGGCGGTGGAGCACCACTTTGGTGCCTTCAAGAGAAAGTTCGGAAAATTGTATGCGTCACAGGAAGAGCACGATTACAGGTTCTCCGTCTTCAAGACTAACATGCGCCGCGCAAAGCGTCACCAGAAGCTAGATCCGTCGGCGGTCCACGGTGTCACTCAGTTCTCCGACATGACTTCATCGGAGTTCCGAAAGCACCTTGGACTGAGGTCTCGTCTCAGGTTCCCTGCCGATGCTAGCAAGGCCCCGATCCTTCCAACGAACGATCTACCGGATGATTTTGATTGGAGAGATCATGGTGCTGTCACAGATGTGAAGAATCAGGTACATTTTTACTTTGTTGTTTTCGATTAGGGGAAATTGTGAAGTATCAGATACATGTTCGCTTTGTTATTTTCTATTAGGCTATCCTGGAAGAAGAAAAGAAATTAAACAGTCGCCATCAGTATCAATATTTTGTCTCTTATTGGAATTTGCCATGCAAATTTTGACGTCGTTATTGAATGATGAATGTTAATTAGGGTTCGTGTGGTTCATGCTGGTCGTTTAGTACAACTGGGGCACTAGAAGGGGCGAATTTCCTCGCCACAGGGAAGCTTGAAAGCCTTAGCGAGCAGCAACTTGTTGATTGTGACCATGAGGTTTGATTATTTTGACTTTAATAGTTTATTTTTCTTGCTGTTTGGTTCTCCATTTCTACTGCCTACTGGCATGTGTTGGCTGTTTGGTTCTCCATTTCTAGCCCTTGAGAATCCTCTCTATGCAACAATAGCTAACATTTTCTTTGGAGGGGAACTTTTTGTTACTCAAACATACTTCTACCAGTCGATTATGATCGTTACAAATAAACCGTTTATAATTTATATTGTTTTAGAACGAAGTTTATTTGATTTGATATTTGACAAACAAACAAACATTTTTTCAAACAAGCCAGAAGTCATGGATGAACAGTACTTGAATGTGTGTTATCAATGTAGCATGGTAATAAAGACTTCTTGCCCTCAACATAACACTGTATCGTTCTATACCCAGAGTTTGTGTTTGTGGGTTGGATGGGGATATGAAAATTCTGTCTAAATTTTGTGCGGGATCTTTCAAATCTGCACTCCATTTCATTTGGGATTTTTTATCATCATAATCTTGAATCAACTGCAGTTGTTCTCCTCTATAAACTTTATGTTTTTGCCAATAAAATGTTTAAACTTCCTATTATGATAACTTGCAACTTGGGTACCTTCTAGTGGTTGGATTAAGGGCAAGATGGTTATAACATTTTCTCCTCATCTGACATAGAACCTGAATTTCAAAGTATAGCAAAGGGAATCAACTTTTCTTGCTGATTGTCACCTTCATAAGTTAAGAGTCACTATTTTTTAGTTGTTGCTGAATTTAATTGCTTGAGGCTATGAAGAATCCAACAGAATGAGTTCGTAATTAGAGTAGAATCAGTTAACATGAAGAATTTTGTTACTTCACCACATTGTTGTTTGATCATTTACTTGATTTTCTCACTATTACAGAATGTCAAAAATGGCAGTAACCATGATATATTTTGTACCTCAAAATATGGACTTTGGAACTGCACCATCTGCAATTCTTTACTGAAAATTTGGTTTCTTTCCATTGTCTTTGATTATGTATCATTCTTTGGGCCAAATTTATCATTCTTCGATTGAAGTTTGTGTTATCTGCAGTGCGATCCAGAAGAAGAAGGATCATGTGATTCAGGATGTAGGGGAGGTCTGATGAACAGTGCCTTTGAGTACACTCTCAAAGCTGGTGGGCTTATGAGCGAAAAAGATTATCCTTACACGGGCACTGATCGTGGAAGCTGCAAATTTGATAAAAACAAGATTGTAGCATCTGTGAGTAACTTCAGTTTGGTCTCCCTCGACGAAGATCAGATTGCTGCCAATCTCGTGAAACATGGTCCTCTTGCTGGTATGCATCCTTTTCTTCAAAGCTGGTTAAGCTACCTATTTGCCCTTCATCATTGTTAATATACGAGTAATAAAAAAGCCAAACCTTAAGAAGAGAGAAGGTTGCAACATATATTGAGTAAAAATGATTCAAGTCTAGTCGATGTGGAACTTCAACATGCCCCCTTCAATAGAGACGGGCACAAAGTGTTTTGATGGGGCTAGACGAGTACAAATTGCCCCAAAGTTTCGAGTCTCTAGAGTGGTAGACCTTGGTTCTGATACCATGTGAGAATATATGGAACCCTTTCGATTACTCTCAAAAAGAGTTGAGAAGAGAAGAGAGGTTCCAACATATTTAGGAGAAGCAGGAAGTCTAAAGATATAGGATTCTAACGGTTTCTATATTTGACAAATACTCAACATTGCTAGCTTTAAACTATACATTGAGCTTATTTTATTTATGTAAAATCCTTAATTACCATTGTTTCTAATGATGGTTTGCACATGCAGTGGCTATCAATGCAGTTTACATGCAGACATATGTTGGAGGAGTGTCGTGCCCATTCGTATGCTCAAAAAGGTTAGACCACGGCGTACTATTGGTCGGGTATGGTGCGGCTGGGTACGCTCCGGCTAGAATGAAGGAGAAGCCATACTGGATCATCAAAAACTCTTGGGGAAAAAATTGGGGAGAGAAAGGATATTACAAGATCTGCAAGGGTCATAATGTCTGTGGTGTCGATTCTATGGTCTCGACAGTTGCTGCAGTTAACCGACACTAGTAATACTATCGTTAAACAGCCTACTACGAGTACGAGTATATAGGGAGTGCTTAACAAACGACAAGAATACATTAACGGAATTACGAGTTAATTCGTGTTTGAGAAAGCATACGATTGCTTAAATTTCTAATGTTTTAATACTACGATGAGTGTTGATATGAAATAGTATATAACCAGGGTGGTGTCTGATTGGTTTGAGCTTTGCTCCAAAGGTCAAAAATACCACTCAGGTTCAAATCCAAGGAGGAATAAAAATTCCCTTGTGGCTACGGAGGTTCAAATGTGGTGACTCCGGGCTATCTGTAAAGCAGGTGGTTACCCTAGGATTAGTCGGTTCGCATAGCGGGTTGGATATCCAAGTTAATAAAAAAAATAGTATATGATGCCGGTTTAGTTGAGAACTTTTAAGATCAACTTCAACCATAACACCGATAAAAACGTTGAAATGCTGATTAAATTAGAACTGCTTTTATCTTATTTGATTCCAATCACGCACTAAAATACCAAACGAATTTTTTACCATTTGGTCGATAATATCCCACCAAATTCAGTGATTCATTATTTGTTAACAAAAGAATTTGTGCTAAATTGTCTGGTTAGGGGCAAAGCCATTCTTTTTTGTTATACCGTTCAATGAAGGTGTGTTTGGTATCCAGATGTGACGGGACATAACAAAACAGGAAAGAACAGAACGACTGTTCAGCGTGAATTAGATAAGACAAAACAGATAAAATGACTAATTTATCTCTAATAAGTTGTTTTTATAATTTCTATTTTATTTTTTATTATTAATATTTAAGAAATTACAAAAATCAATTAAAATATAGAAACCGTATAAAGACAGTAAAGTGAAAATTTAAAGAGCATAAAATACAATAAATAAAATTTAAATAATGAATAAAATGTGAAGAGATAGACTTATTTGATGTTTTAGAAAAGAATTGGGTTTATTTTGAGATTATATTGGTAAAATATAAATCTATTTTACCTTTTTCCATAGGGTGGAGGTGAAACATGTCTATTACACTTTGTTGTCTGTTCTACATAAAAATCCTGCCAAACATGGAACGATGATCTTTGTTCTGTTCTGTCATATCCAGTGTACCAAACACACTCTTGAAGATGACCTAAGAGCATCTACAACAGATTCTTTAAAACAAATATTTTGGGGATTTTTGCTAGAACATTCCCCAAAACTTTCTCCAAAATAAAGAAAATAGGAAAGAGAGCGAAATTCTCTAAATTTAGAGAACTCTTCAGAAATGATTACCTATAAAAAAGAAATTATTTTTTTATTCTTCCTACAAACAAGGATCCTTCAAATGAAATATATAAATAACAAATAATATTTTATAAAAGACATTAAATATTTTAATAATATAATTTATATTATAATAATGAAGAATATGTTGAAAATAAAATTTTAATTTTTTAATTCTCTATTTTGCAGTATTCAAACATGCTCTAACTACCCCCAAACATTTTGGATCTCTTAACCATATGTACCAAGCAGCAGTTTTTGCTTTCTATAATAGGCTAATAGCTACCTACTTACATTATTAGCCGTGTGCAACTGTGTTTACCAACATCAAAAATTCAGTATATATCAGGTTTACATACATTTTACCCTCGTTAGATCCCACATGTTGGCTATACTAAATTCGTCTGGCTTGATTTGGTCAAAAGGGTAAAAATCATTTGCCCTTGTTATGTTTCGGGTGGGTGGATTGGAGCTAAGGATCAACAAACCAGCAACAATCATGTGATTTTGAGAAGGGAAGAACAAGTCCAACAATGGAAGAAATAGAGCTTAGAGGCCCCAAGTACTTACAGTACAGGACCTCCGTACCAAACACAGGAACCAAAATCTGGAAGAAAAAGCAATCAAAATGATAACCTAAATTCAGACAGACTTGAACTCAGGGACCGTTTACTAAACGCTTACCCGGTAGGTGCTTATCGGGCAATTTTCCTCACTGGACGAACATAACAAGACCCAAGAATCTTACCTGTTAAGAGCGATGATAAGGATAGAGAGTATTACCCGGTAAGTGAGGGTAACGACTCTTAACTGGGTAAACGCTTACCATATATAGTGTTGCACATGATACCATTTTGATGTATTACAATCTTACCTAGAAAATAAATTATAGTGTTGACTCATAACGGTAAGCACTTTCCGGGTAAGCATTTAGGTAAACGGCCCCTCAGTTGGTTCTGGTTTAGAACCGCTCTACATTAAAATCGAGAACCAATTTTTAGAGAAATCTAGAGCCAAAATAAATGTTTCTTGGTTCAATCCCGACCCTAGATGTACCAAACATCAGATACACAACTAGTTCTCTACAGTCCAGTCTACGTATCAAACGGACCGGATGGAGAAAATGAGTAGACCGAAGATAGATCCAAAGCAATGTTTTAGTATTTCTGTTGGCAAGGCCTTGAAATGGGTGAAGTATGAATACCAGAAACAAAAAGAACACCATGCCTCTTTATTGTGTCACTGTAGCAACCAAACATATAAATAAATAAATACCTGCAGTCTCTTAAAAGTCTCTTGTTTCTTATCCTCCACAATATCACTGAAAGAATGGTGGAAATAAATACATAGTTGCCACTTCTTTGGTGCATTTCAGTAGGGGCAAAATGGTAAGATTACATTATGCAAATATGCACACACAACATCTGATCGATCGATGGATCCATCATTCTTCATCGTCACCCAGTGACGCAAAGGTGAAGGGATGGAACTTGTATCCATCTCCCTCGTAGAACTTGTTTTGGAACTCCACCCAGTGAAGTCTTAATGCGTGTAGGAAGGCACTCAGCGTTTCCATCACGAGCAACACACCCACCGTTGCAAAAACAAACACGATGATGCCCACAATAAGGATAAGAATGTTATTGTATCTGAAAAATGGAAATCAACATAAAATAAAGGAACCGTTGCAACTCATAGTGATTGTATACACATTTATGTCAATTGGGGTAGACCTGGTTATAGAAATCCGAATAACCCGAAACCGATTAAACCGAAGGTTAGTCGGTTTGGTTATCTGGTAGTTTGGAAAATGTTGAAACATCAATTAACCAGAACCGAATAAACCAAAAACTGATTTAACAGACCGAAATAACACTCATACATCGAGAGGCTGGTGGCTATGGAACCTAATTTAGACTCTAGACTGGTGCGCTACGTTGCAACACCCACTTACCTAGAAGATGAAGGTTAAGCCGGTGTTAGATGGGAACAAGAATCATTGATAGTGCTTGGTTTAGGCAATGAATGAGAATGGAATCAAGAATAGTGCTTGGGTTAGAGTTTCTCCAAAATGGGAAAAATGAAACAAATGGGGATTTTGGGCCAATATTTTGCTCTAACAGCTTCCCCAAAACTCTCTCCACAATGGAGAAAGTAGGGGGAGAGGAGTTTTCTCTCCAAATATAGAGATCACCTCAAAAATGATTACCAAGTGAAAGCACCAATAGGAAACTTTCAAAATAAATATTTAGAGAGAGAAATAATATTTTAATAGATGAATGAAATATTTTAATATTATAATCAATATTGGATTCTTCAAAATAGGAAATCTGTTGGAGATGAATGTAATTTTTTTGGAGATATTGACTTTTGATTCTCTATTTTGGATAAATTTTGGAGAATCTGTTGGAGATGCTCTTAATATATGGAATCAATCATTAATGTGTATGGGGCAATGAACCATTCCTCCTAAATGGGGGGTAATGAAAACAATGCAATACCAATACCCATTCCCATTTCCCAACATTCTTATTTCATCAAACCTGATATTTTGACAGATTTAGGATGATAGTTTACAAACCGAACAAAACGAACTAGGTCTGAAGAGGGTAAGATGTATGAAGACATGCCTCTACCCTAAAGAGTTTTTCTTCCCTAAAGATCTTCGGCTTGTTAAAAGTGACAAAGAGAAAGTCGGATAAGATAAAGTGAAAATGTGTATTGACAGTTTGTATGTCTCTCATCTTTATGTCTGAATTCCAATTACAAAAGAAATCGAAGTATTATATTCTTTTATGTACTAGCAAAGTTCACAAGTAAATAGTAAAACCCTGGCAACAATTAGACATAGGCAAATTGTTTAACCGTGAATTTGATATCTTCAACAACTATTGTGTGTGTGTGTGTGTGATTATTGATCATAATGCAGATATCTTCCTCGAGTGTCATTCATCATGTGGAATACCATGAACACTATTTCCCAGTGCAGATAGAATAACAAGTTCTATTACTCCCAAATAAATGTCCACAATAAAAAAAAGGCTCCTAGTTCTAGAAATGTGTAAATACTACACTTTTTAATTAACTAAATAACAATTTTACCCTTTAAAATAAAGGAGTAATAAATTTCATCATTTCATAATTAAGGGTAGAATTGAAAAGTAGACTCTTTACTTTTTGAAAGTGGATGCTTAACATGAGGACAGACTAAAATAGAAATATGGACACTTATTTTGGGATGGAGGGAGTACTTGATACCTCCGCAAGTTACCCTTTTCCTCAAACAAGAGTTCCATATTAATTCATCATGGAAATGCTCCATCTAACAAATAATTTATTCTCATTCCTAATATTTAGCCGAATAGCAGCTACCAAAACCTAAGTTCGGATATGTTGTAAATCCTCACAAAGCATACTCTTGAATGGACAATATTCAGTATTAGTTAAATAAAAAGAGCCACAAAGAGAGTTACTTACCCCCAAGCAAGAAGAAGAACCTTCTCATAGAACACGGTCGACAACTCTGAATGTGCCAAGCTGCAAAAGAGGAGATTGTTTTACATTTACCGGTGTTGAGACTATTACATAATAACGGAGGTGTAGATGGTTCAGAATTATCGTTCCCTAAACCAAGTTGCTCATTTATGAGAGCAGTTATAGATAATTTTTGTGGCATAATAATAATAAACATTATAGCTACCGAGAGTTTCCAAATCGATACCAAAAATGGAAGTACTATTTAAATTCAGTATGATGTACACAACTAAAACAGACAATAGGATTAAATAATACACAGCTCTTAAACCCCACCCTAAAGGCTCCTAAACGAGAGCATTGAATAGTAATCTCGAAATTTTCATGATTGATTTGATGTGGTACAAACTTTTTAATCTTAGAAGAACATGAAACTTGGGTAAGTGGACAGTTATATGTATCGATGAGAAAATCACACCTTCAGAAAACACCATAGGTTATTAGTTTCTTAAGGGTGTGATTGGTACGCAGACTGGACAGGACTGGACAAGCAAGAGTGAGTATGTGGATGACAGAATTGCAGAAGGTTTTAGGGTTTGAATTTGACATGGGTAGTTTAGTTATTTACCAGTCCTGTCCACCATCCTGATTTTTGTTCTACTTGCTTTGGTGGGACAAGAAATGCATTTTTGTCACACTCATGTCCCATCCCAATCTAATGTCACCAAACGTGAGACAACAAATTTTTCTGTCCTGTCCCATGTACCAAACGCACCCTAAATTTGATTTTTGTACCAAATGTCTTGGTTCAAGATACAGTAGTAGCATACCTGAGAGCCCATAAACGAAGATACGAAGCTGTATTTGATACCGCCCCAAGTACGAATTCTATTGTGTGGATGAGTTGATGAACAAATATTTCACTGAACTCAAATTCTTCATGATCATGGGAATCATGATTTGCCTCCACTTGCAAAGAGTTATCTTCGCCTTCGAGGGGTGTGTAGGACTGGCCTTCGTGTGTCTAAGGTCATGAAAACAAGGTGCCATAAAGAGAAAGAAGAAGTAAGAAAAAACAAACTTCAAACATGCATAGAAGGACCCAAGAAGAAAGAGAAAGTAAGAAAAAACAAATAGCGTACCCTCTTGTGTTGTGCCTTTAAAATGAAAGGCTTAGGTAGCAGCATCCATGGAACCGCAATCAAGGATAGTAGTAGAAGCACAAGCTGTTAATGGAACAATTTGTATCAGTTGAGCAATACCAATTCGCGATACATGCAATAACATTACTCTCATGCATCCTGGAATGGTACCCTGGTTACTGGTAGAGCCCAGCCTCGAAGGAGGACAAGTCACAAGTGTTCAAACCTCACCAAAGGTTGAGAAGTGTGCATGAATATTTGCTGTATATAAATATTATATACTTCAAAAAAAAACAATTAAACAAACCTGAACTGTCTTCTGGTTTGCAAAAAGTTGGTTTTCACCAAGTTCATCAGTAGGACTAAGGAACATGTATATCATTACATGGTATAAATCAGCTTTTGAACCAGTGCACCACTTCACAATGATGAGGAGGGAAAGGTATCCGAATAATCCATTCAAAAAGATCATCTGAGGGATAAACTGGAACCTGAATATAGAAGAGGCTCTACTATGAGCAAGTATAATACATTATATAATATTGTATATACACACATTCTATACATTTAAAGGCAGGGGACAAAATGACATCAATAAAAAATATTATGTGCAGCACCTGCTATTTGATCTTAAATTGTGCAACTTTAGATCATAAACTGTTATATAGAAGACTATATTTTAAGGCTTTAATCATGGTCAGCAAGCTACAAAACTGGCCTGAAGAGAACAACGTGCGGTGTAAATATGCACCATCAACAAGGATAAGCTTGTCCTTTTTGCTTTCAAAGCAGTACCTGAACATCTAGTTGATAGTTATAGAGCTCCTTGACAACTACTTCCCAAGTACCATAATTTACCAAGCTTTCAGGTTTTTTATTAGGCAAAATAGATTAAAGAACATCACTGTAAATTTTCAATAACATTCTCGAAAAAAAACATCAAGCACATACATATACTGTTATAATCATATCAATTACATCACTTCTATACAATCTTAATTGACTAACATAAATGATTAATTTTGACAAGAGGTCGACGGGAAGAATGATTCAACGAAGATGTTGATCTTCTCAACTGTTATAGATGGTCTATGTTATTAATTTGATTAAAAGCATACAAAGTAATGCAAAGATGATTGTGAGTACAAGTACATGATTGATGGATCATTGTGTTCGAATATGTAATTCAAAGGAGTGTGAAAATAGAGTAACAATGTTATCTATTTTGACCTTATTATTAATATCAAACCCTGTAAATTTAAAAAAATTGTTATTTGGCAACAAAATTAGAACTCTCTTTCTATGTGAAGCTAAGAAAATTTCTTGTATCATGATCTGCATATCATAGAATGCTAGCACTGGAACTAACCAAATATTTACTGCATTCCCAAAGTACACCGCGTTGAAAAAGCTCATTATTATTCCAAGGTTCATTTGTGCTACCCCAATAAGGATTGACATTTTCATCTTCAATGAGTTGAGGAACGGCAATTCACTGCGACTCCCATGCCATGCAGGATCCACACCGAATGGGTATGTATCCCTCCCCTTTATCAAGCCAATAGTGGTAGCTTCACTGCAAAAGAGCGGGAAATATAAGGAGGTGAGGCAAACCAGATAAAACAGACGGGGGGAAAAAGTTCCAACAAATACCTGCAAGCAGCATCACGGCATACATATGCAGAAGGGCTAAATAACTCGAATGGAACAGAGAAGAACTCGTTATAAATCAAACCAGTGTAGATTGAGAAAAGTGACATCAACAGTATCACATAACGACCCCCAAAGGTCATTTCCATAATGTCTCCAAGCTTCTGCATTCACCAAAACGCACAAGTATGTCAGTTTACAGTAATATTATATGAAGAAGGGGAGTAACTAAGCAAGACGAATAACATTCGACAAACAACATACATCAGCCAATAAGAAAGACTAGTGGGGCATTTAGGACAATAACCTTCCGACAGTTCTTTTTAAATGCATGACCTTTCGACAGATTTATGAACGTCTTTGCCTAACTATGGAATGCCTTCCGTTAACACAAGAATGCCTCAAAACCTGTCAGAAGGTTATTCTCCTAAATAAGATCATGCATTTAAAAAGTCAGTGAGAAGATTATTCTCCTAAATAAGCAGAGACTTATCTAGGCACCTGAATGAGAGAATTTGTAGGAGATAAAGCCGTGACCATATACTTTTTGAAGTATCAAAAGATGACATAATCAGTCCACATTCTTGACTGTTTTTAGATGACTGATTTCATTATATAAGGAAATCATGGAATAGTAATGACAGACAGTTTTGCCTAAAAGTCTAACGAAAAACCAGCAGAGCAAAGTGTTATTAACCTTCCTCGTCATAATATGGATGTTTACACCAACACAGGTGAGTAAGATGATTCTGGTACTGTAAAAAATCAGCTCAAGATATCAAGTGCAAGTTACCTGAGTGGAGTATTTCTTCTCCTTGAATATCAAAAATAAAGTTGACAGCAGCAGGATTATACCGTGCCCCCAGTCACCGAACATTACAGCAAACAGAAATGGGAATGTGACGATAGTATATACTCCGGGATTTGCTTCTTGGTACTTGGCAACCCTGCAAACAGCTGATTAAATACTTTCTGGTACGGAAATTAATAAGGAAACAAGTACAATATTCACATAGGTTAGATTGATATAATTAGAGATGTCAATTATGTAGTGAAAAGAGATTCCGCACCAGCAGCAAGGGGGAGTAATTTTTTCTCGAAATACTCAGCCTAAAAAGATTCACTTTATTGAGATGAATAAAAATATTATTTTATTATAAGCTGCTTAAAGAAACAAATTTGGAAGTTCTGCAAAATTGCAACACAGATCTACACTAGTCTCGTCCATGCCCCTCTAAAAGATTCTATGATGATAAATGTAGTTCACCAACTCTAAGTTCAAAATGGCCTGTCCCTAGCCATTGTAAAAGAGGGATGTGACAGGCAAGCCAGCATAAAAACAGCTACACTATGAAAGCTATTTTCCAGGAGGGCTCGTATAACAATAAAGGATAGGCCAAGTGCTCAAGAGAGAAGACTTGAAACATTAGAATGTGCACGAGAAAATAGCTTCAGTGAGCAAGTGGAAGGATGCTATTCATGTTCCAGAGTACATCTCTTTCAAGTCTACGTTGTGGCACAAGAAGTATTGTTCTACACAAGTAATAAAAGTGACACTCATGTTTAATAGGGGCCAAGGTTTGAGTAATTCTCACCCATATGCATCAACGATTGTTTGGAAGGAATCAGTAAATTTGTTTGTCTGGAAAAAGGTCGGAGGTAACTCTTTTGTGTGCAAAACCTGAAATATAGCACCAACTTGTGAATTGGAATCTATTGTTGCCCGCTCCAGTGCATCTTGAATCTGCAAAAACAGGGTAGATAATTTACTTTAGAGAAGAATCTTTACATGCACTGAAATTGTTCAACATAAGGCCAAGATTGATGAAACACTATCCACCAAAAGATAAGCAATTTGAAATCAGAAATCCAACACAGAGAAGAATATTTATCCACATAGTGGTACACCGACTCCTATAAACCATAAAACAGAAGATTGTCTTTCTACTATTTTTATTTATACAGGAAGGAACAGAAGGAAAAACCTTTTCAGTTGCATATATCGGACTCCACCCTTCAGCCACAAGACACTTTCTTGTCACATCGATGCTGAGCATATTTAGAGTGTGATAGATAGATTTCTCTTTTCGCACCTTACATAAGTAATAGAAACGAGGTTAAGTGAAGAAATAAAGAAAATGTAGGTCAAAAAGCTGGCTTAGCAATAATGATCACAAAAGCAGTCAACAGGCTGTTCCACCTGCCTTGTTTTAAAAAAAAGTAGCATTCGCAGACAATTTATTGAAATGGAGCGAGACAACACATACTAGAAGGTTCCACCGTTCATATTGTTCTCCTATCCTTTGTAACAAATTGCCACGGTGCACAAGCCCAAGATCTATCGTCGTCTTTAGCTCAGATATCCTTCCAGATACCTATGAAAAGTAGAAAGTGAAAGTTTGATTGATCAGTATCCTAACCGAAGCCCAAACACATTAGCACCAAACCTAGAGAATCAACCAAATTGTTGTGAGAAAATGGACAGAAATCATAGCAAGTAAACACTCTTGACTTTCACCTAAGGCCTCTGTTTAGGAAATATCTCTAGCACAATAAAAGACTTAATCATTGACCTATCACAAATAAATGTTTATCTGCAACTACTTTCTGCAGAAATATTACACAGCACTTGTCTAGTATAGACTAATTAATAGTTTTATGCAAGACCTGCTGTAATTTCTCCAGTTCTCTGATAAGTGAAGGTTGTAACCATCTCCATAACCACCTTTTAAGGCATCTATTCAGCTTACAATGATGTTTTAAAATTTGAGAACACCAACTTAGATTAATTTTTAAGGTGGATAATGATGCCTTCTGTTGGCATCTAAACCAATCTTACCTATACCTGAGTCCTGTGGGAACAACCTTCATCGTATCAGATACAATTAAAATAAAGTTGCATCTCCATTTCAGATTTTGACATGATGAAATGAATCTCTACTCTTCAATGTGGAGGTCAAGGCTGTGTACATCTCACCCCTCCCAGACACCACCTTCGGGTGGCATTTACCGGGTTTATTTGGTTTGGTTTGATTTCTATACGGTGAAAGGCATAAACAATTGCTGTGCAATGGAAAAGATCAACTTTCCCATAGTCAACAAAATATCGTATGGCATCATGCAACAGCCTCAAATAGCTCTATCAGGGTTATGATAATTCTAGTACCCTAAAGTCCTATATATACATCCGTGGAAACATGAGTTATGAGTATCTAGTATCCTTATGAATTGCCTAATCTTTTACGACTCCTTGATATGAACTATGTTGCTTAGATTTTCAGATCAATAGGAGCTTATGTTTATTTTCCCTAACAAGATGACCAAAGAAGGCAAAATCAGGTTGCCTTCTAGTTCGCAGAGGAGATTTCACAGTCTGCAAGGTTCTACATTCAGTAAGCAGAGAAGACTATTTGCTACATCTGGTCTGCTGAACGCAACTTCCAACTCTGCAAGAAAGGCCTCATTCAATATTCTGTCCAGCATGGTCCAACCACAGGTCCACCTAAACATCCTCATTTATATAACACTCAATTTCCTCAACCAACCAGTGCCCACCAGTTGATCACCAATCAACAATACAAGAATGTACTTTTTGCTTCTTGTACTTTCTTGTCGACCTGTAGAACACATACTTGTGATCCATAAGAAGTCAATCCCACTTAAGATCAAGAGATCAGGGTCAAGGTTGTAGCCCAAAGTTTGACCTATGACGAGATCAAAAACTCTTGCGGAAATACAACTGCTGATGAAATAATACTCTCTCCATCTCAAAATAAATGTCCACAATGAAAAAGGCAACACAGTTTTAGGAATGTCAATTATTAGACTTAATTAACTAAATGACAGTTTTACTTTCTCCGTCTCATAACTAAAGGTAGAACGGGTAAGTAGAAAGTAGACGCTTGTGAAAATGAAAACTTATTTTGAGACAAACTAAAATAGAAATGTGGACACTTATTTTGAGACGGAGGGAGTAATACGATTCTAGGGGTCAAAGCGTCCTTAATCATTTTGATATAAGTAAAGCAACCAGAGTAATAGCGTATTACAGGTACCATTTGAGGTGGGAGCGGTTTAAAGCCCTTTCATACAAGTGATAATAATAACTAACTGAAAAGGTAGTTTCATACCTCAGCTATTATTTGTTCTTGTTTGCTAAGATCTTCTGCGAAAGGGTAACGATTTGCTCCAAAAGCTTCGCATATTTTAAGAACTTTGCTTTTTGCTCTTTCTCCAGAAAAGAAAACCAGAAATACATTCTTCAAAACCTGTACAGTGGTAGCCACATGTTAATGCCTGTACAAAAGAACTTCATCAATAATCTTTATGCAATGAAATCAAAGCATGCTAGCATAATGGTTATTTGAGTGTACCAACCCATAATGAATTGACAAAGTAATCACAAAGTCGACCAATAAAATGTCAAAATTTGGTTAATATTACCAACAGGGTGCATGAGGGTCTTTAGGGAAGAAAGAAGCTAAATCACAATCTAGAGTAGTCACAATTCTTTGAGACCATTGAACACACTAAATGGATCCTTTCTATGGCCAAATCTCAATCCGTTGAAAGCCTTTGATGGCTTTGAAAACATCTATTTTATTTGGGTCTGCATCTCATATTTTTCGAGAAATAATGTCACTTCATGCCCAACATGTATGTGCCTCCACATTAGGTTTGGTATTCTCAAACATAATGGTTTAATCCAAATTCATACTGATGTCCTAGTCAAACTTTGTTGGCATGATTAGAAAATGCATGCTTTCTGCTATGTTCCATTCTCTACAAGTTCCGTTCAAGATACAAGCAAACATGATTATCAGCTAGCACCCAGCCTAAACTACTCATTAGTCCAGTAATACCCACATAAGATCTGAAATATGTATAAACTGAAAAAAAGTAACACCCAACAAGCAACCACCACTGCCAACACTAAAAGAATAATTAAACATGAATCAGCCATTTCTTTTGCTTTTTCAATGAACAAGATTAAAATAACTAAAGATGAAGAATACTGATACAATTATGAGGTATGGACTCAGTTCGAAGTTGCAAGAAGAGAATCTTTTCGTAAACACGAAAAAAGACCAAGCTAGTTCGATTGAGTTTAAAGGTTAGTATTGATCTAAATACAAATGAACCGAATAGGAACAAATCCAGGGGATGGAACTAATATGAAGAAATGCATTAACAACCTTCTCTCCTGAGCTAGGATCAGTAACAGCTTCTTCCACGGTAGCCTGCCTCAAAAAGACATTACCCCTTGTAGCACGGAATAGAATTCTTTCAAAAGCCATTGTTTTTTCTTTAGGCACGAGGCCAGCGAGAAACCCCAATTTAACTTGCTTGCCTTGATCAGTTTTTGACTCCTAAAAATATTCATCAAAAAGAATCATTTAAGTGCAAAAGCTACATCTGATAAGGAAAATATAAGATTAATATCATGGTACGTACTTCATCCATCAGAAGAGGAGTTTCCAAAGATTCTTCAGGAGCCTGATCTAATGCACTTTCACTCTGCTGAGCTACGGCACTGCTATGTGCCACTCTGAAAAACTCTCCAGCCTGGGAAACAATTTGAACATTTATGTATGTAATGCAAGCTATTTACTGTAGCAAATGTAAGAACTACAGGGATAACCAGCCAGTGAAGAAGAAATTACACAAAAGAGACCTTTTAAGAAAAGAACGCTTCCTTTGTTCCAACAGATATGGTATGCAGAACAAAGTTGTATACGCTTCTGTGTTTCCAAGTTTATTACCCAGTAAAGATTGAAAAGTCTAGTAGTAGTGCAAGAAGATTAAATGATGTTAAAGAATAGAGATAAGACACCATGTCTCTGTATCTATAAGGAATACTCTTCTGGAGTATTGGGGTAGTATATTACGGAGAAGCTTAAGATAAAGACCGAGGACTGCATTCAGATGGTTATCAAAGAGTGTGAAGTATATCAACCTTTTAACTTACCATCATTTGCTAAGTGATGGAAGCTACGGAGTATTATATGGGTGAAGTCACTCATGCCATTTCCTTACCCACATTTTTGTTCGTCTATTTAGATTACTGCTCACATTTATGACAGTAAATATATTCCTCTCAAACAGGGGTCATCCACCTGTGACCAGTTTATCGCACTTTTTAAGAGAACACAACCCTAAGTCTGAGGGCTATGAAGCAGCTTCATAGATAAGGGTCCAGTGCATCATTACTATTATCATATTGGGTTTCATACTGATAGCTTTGCTGAAATTCTGTGCTCATTTCCTAGGTGATCATATATCTCCTCCTCCAGCCCCGAAAAGGATAATTCTGATTTATCATCATTCCCTTTTTCTTTTTTCCCTTTTCCAAACATATCTTCATTCACAGTTTCTACATCCAAGCACTAGTTTCCAAACTTTTACCTACTTCCTGTAGGTTAATCGATACATTTGCCAACCGGCAAATTGATGCTGCCCTTTCAGATCTTACTATTTTATACTTTTTAGATGAGCATTGTGAAATTGAGGGAGGGAAAGAGATCAGATTTAAACATATACGCTGATGTGATGTCCTTAATGGCTTTGTAAACCAAACCAAACACACCTGGCATGTCCCACATGGAAGTAGGGTCTAAAGGGTGGGATGTATGCAAATCGGACCTCTACCCCAATAGAGTACAGCGTTGTTGATAATAGTGAAGACCCCCGAGTCCCCGACTTCCAAAAAGTGTTTTCAAAAATAATTTTGGTGAAAAGCCGAGTGCTTTGGAAAGTTTATTAAAAAAAAATTGGAAGAAAATGACAAGGTGGGTCTTGGGACTAAAAAGGTAAATACAAAGAGCTTTTGAATAGCAGAACCAGTCTAGAAAATAGTAAAACAAGTTCCACGAGTATAGAAAGCATAGGAACATAAGGAACAATACTACAAACTAAACATCCCTTGGTCTATCATAAGGCCCTGACAGCTTGTCTATTGGCTCTCCAACCTTCCCCCCAACTCACCTTCTACCTTCCAAACTCCCCTCTTTCCAACCACGATAGCTACAGGTCTTCACATAATCTACTACCCTAGTCCCGCATCTCTAAGAAATCCTATCAGAGGTAATGTCTAAGGACGCCATGTACAACCTCAACTGCTCATCCACATCCTCCTCGATGTGCCCCCCTCCACTGTTATGCTTTCTTCCCTGACATCTGTCTCCTCAGTCTGCCCCTCCTCGATGGGTTTGTATGATTGTATAATGACTTATAGCATGATGTCAAAATATTTTTACAAAATATGATCAAAATGACATTAGTAATAGGTGGAACTTTGAGTAAGTATAGGCCCTTTATCTACCCACAAGTCACCAAAATTCTTTAGCTCTTGAATATTATTTTAATCAGTTTAATATGTATAATTTTCACATCACCACAATATATGTAATTCGACTAGCCCTCTTCCTTATTCACTACAATCAAAAGATTGAAGTATGTGTATAAAACTTACTTATTCAACTTGCTTAAGTCTCCCATGTTTGATCACATTCTTTACTTTGGAAGTTCCCTTTATATATCATATCAATTTATCATTCCACCTTCTCACAATACATGACCAAGTGCCACCTCCCTATGACAGAACAATATCATTATATACCTTTTGCAGAACAAGCTTATATTCTAAGAGCTCATTGTAGCCACGCTGCAACTTTTCACCATTTGCATTTATTTCAATCAGCTCGGCTTCAAGATTTCCAAGATTTACCTATAAAATAGCCATCACAAAACAAGAGTTAATTTCGTAAAAGATGGCGAGGATGAGCCTCATTCAGGATCTTTTCCTGCATTAACATCAAGATTTAAATGTACCTCTAGATCATCCAGATTAATATCAACTTGGGCGTCAGTTTTCCCTGAGGGTGTGAAACCCGCCTTTGACATTTGGTCTTTGAAGAAACGCAACTTCCGCGCCATTTCTCCGCATCTTTTAATCTTCAAAATATAAGCAATTTAAAACATGGTCTAACTAAAAAAACTTGTAACTAAAACACAGATTTGTACACATTATGTGTACCATGCTCACACACAGAATTTGAAGCAGACAATGATATTTTCCCTTAAGGGGATCTCTATAGCACAAAGGGCGTCAATGTACTTGACAAACAGTGAACAAACAGGTCTCTCCATAATTGGCTAAACATAACTTCTTATCTGAACTCCAAGGACTTGATATCGATTTTGATAGTAGGATTGCAACCATTAACTTCCAGAAGACAAACCATTATCTCTGATTTTGAAAGACAGTGCAATGACAAAAGGTTCACTAAAGCTTAAAGAGGTATATAAAATATTCACCTGGCCTGCATATGTTCGCTGGAAAGGGCTTTTTTCCGCATTCAGCTGCAAACACCAATGAAAATAACATTAAGGACCCCTATAAGGAACAAAATTATATAACAATCTAGAAAATCTGTGTAAAAGGGCCAAAAAGGGCACCATTCTCCATCCAGCCAATTGGGAAATTTTAAGAGCCCTGTTAGAAAGGTTTAGTTATCTACCATAAACATCATAATCTTCTGCCATCTTTTTTCGCCTATGGGATTAAGCATTATCTCTTAAAACAAAACTTCCTATCACGTTTATATAACATCTAATCGCTTTTCTTGGTAAATAATTTCTGTCCAGTAGCAAATTTCAATGGCTAACTCATTGACATGTGGGAGTATTCTAATAACAAAAGAAAGTGTGAAGTTAACTGTCATTCAAGAATAACTATACATTTCAGAACTTAAAATTTAGCTCATTGATCTTGTCCGATGAGGGATTCAGTTCAGAGTACATGATCAAAATCATATAAATCTGTGAAAACAGAAAATCATGCCAAGAAAACTGTTTTGCTCAATCAGTCGACAGTAACTTCCAGCTCGAACAATCAAATTTCCTCGAGAACAGTAAAGCAAATTTAAACCACTGTAAAGCCCCAAGTTCAGTAAATCAACAACGTTCAAACTTCAGTTCTATAGCTCTTCGATCTTATCCTATAAGCAATTCAGTTCAGAATGCCTATTTTGAAATACTTAAATTCGTTAAAACGGAAAACTAAGCAAAGAAAATCTAGTTTCCCCCAATCGGTCAACAGTAACTTTTAGCTCGAACTACCAAATTTCCTTTAAAAAAAGGAAATTTAAACCACTGAAAATCCCTAAGATCGGTAAATCAACAACAATCGAACTCCATTTCTAAATTACTGCAATACACAGTCCTATAGCACCAAAAAAACACTACAATTGCAATCATTCCTCATACTGATAACAACTACGCAAAACAACCACCACCGTACAGAGATATAGAAAGAGTACATACATCTTTGAATTGAATGAGACCGATGTCTCCAAGGTAAGAGGCAGTTGAGTGAGCAGACTCGATAGGAATGATGATTTGTACTAAGTGCATCGGTTCTGAACGGAACAGATCCATCGGCGGACAACATCCTCCTCCGCCACCGTGGTCCGCCATCTATCGCCGTTCGATTCCGCCTCTTTGGATACGTCGTCACCCTTTCGGATCGATCGGCGTCTATGTGCCTGTCAGATAGTCTTATCACCACAATATATTCACAGCAGCCACGTTATTTTCGATTCATTTTTTCCTTTTCGATATTCTTGGGAATAAATCCTTTTGGTTCTTTTATCAGGACTCGTTGAGTTTTCAATTTACGGTCCTTTGGTGTCAAAAATCGATGTTCACCTGTCTTCATGTTTGACTCATAACTCTCCTTTTTATTTTTTCTATTTAGGGGGTGTTTGGGATTGCTTATTTAAAACAACTTATGCTTTTTTGTAAAAGTGCTTATTAACTTATGTGGTATCAAACTGGAGTTTTGTAAAAAATGTTTGGATTAGCTTACAGCGGTACCAAACTGCAATAAGCTGATAAGTTGTTTTTTAGTGTTTGGCAAATTTTGCTTATATCTGTAAAATGACCAAAAAGGACAGAGAGAAGATTGATGTTGTTATATGGAGAAGGGAGAAGATTGAGATCGATGTTATCTGGAGGAAAAAAGATAGGTATAAAGGGTAATAGGGTTAAAATGGTAAACTGGTAATAAGCAGTTTTTCATAAGTCAGAACGGATTAACTTATCAAAAACTGCTTATTACCGGTTTGGCACCGGTATAAGCATTTTTCTTTTTCTTATCCAAACACTAGGTATTAGCTTATCACCGGTGCCAGACTGAAATAAGTCAATAAGCAGATAAAATAAGCAATCCCAAACACCCCCTTAGTGTTGTTTGACACAGATATCTGAATAATTTGGTGTAAAATGATTAAGAAATTCTAATGATATACTACTAGTTGTGTATCCGTGCAATGTGGGCGGGAGCCGTGAATTATAACGATTTTGAAGTTTCAATGGTTTTATTAAAGAAGATTTAACGATGATATAAGTTACACTTGGTCTTTACATATTAATACAATTTGGATAAATAAGAGTTATGGTTCYAATTACAGTCTATCGATGAAAAAAATATTGTATGACAGTTTAAAATCCAACATATTTGACTCAACAAATGTGTTCGATTTACACCAAGTGCAAAAAATCAAGAGATCGAGAGCGAGACCGAGAGCTATAGAGCAACTGAATGAGAGAACTTTTAATAACTCACGGTGAATAGCGATTTGAATCTCACATTGGGGGATAGGGAGAAGACAGAGGTATGGGAAGGTGAAGACATGAGTGAAATGTGTCGAAATTATCTTGGGAACATGAAAAGAAAAAGTAATAATGTGCATTGATAACTTGTACTATATGTTATTTTAATTGTAGATTAAAATATTTTAAGACTGAATGCATAAAGTAGTAGTACTTAATGCATTATGAGTTGTTTTTAATACTTTTAAGACTTTGTGCATAAATATATAGTACTTTGTGCATTAAAAATTGTTTTTAAGACTTTTGATAAACCTGGTTTATAAAACAGTATAGATATAGATAAAATAAAATATAATTGTTTGCTAATTGTTTACAATGAAATTAGGGCGCTAAATGGTTAAGGAAGACCTATGATACAAAATTATTCAGAATGTTTTAGACCATTAGAGACAAACTTTTTTTGTCAAACAAGATTCACCTCTTAACGATTCAAATACTGTCTTTTAATGAAACTATTAAGAGATAAACAAATAACCTCTTATATAGACATGTGAACTAAGCTTAATGAAAACTTTTCTAATTTTTTTTTAAATTAAAAAAAACAGTGAACTTCAAAATTTGTCAATCAAAAACATTAGGGATTGTTTGTTTATCTGTTAATAGTTTCATTAAGAGATTAAAAGGTAAATCTTCTTTGTCAAAAAAAAAACAGTTTGTCTCTTAATGGTTCTAAAACCCTCTGAATGATTTTGTATCATGAGTCTCCCTTAACCTTAAATTCAACGTAAACAATTACCAAACAATTATATTTCATTTTTCAATATATCATGAGAGTCTTTTAATCATTCTAATCACTTAATCATTTTATATCAAATCATTCAGCAACTGTCCCCTTAATGACTCTCCGTATTCTTCCACTTTGTAATTTTAAACAATTTTGTTGTTTTAATTTATAATATTTTTGATATGATATGATATGAACAGTTATATTTATTTTGTTTATTATTCATTTCAGATAATCTATAGTTTTATTACAGGTATGAGATGGCCTTCTTGGGACGGCTTGAAAATACGAGAGCATGTACATTTATGATATTTTATAGGCCCTGAGGGAAATGTAAAAAGGGTCATCGACATGTTCAAAAAAGGATTTTCAATATATTATTTTTATCATCAAAAATAACATTGAATCGAAAAGATACAAATAATTCATATAAAATCATTTTCTGAAGTATTACTTGACGTAAAATCAATCAATAAATATTTCTAAATTAATTTTATCTAGCATATAATTTTCACATGGTATTGGTAACTCGTTCCTCCATCAAAAACATCATAAGATACACTTTTAATATGTAGATTGATATCATTTGGGGTCATAATGTTGACTATTCAAAGTAACATTATATGTGAATCAATATAAATCATTTGAGTTTCCATCTCAACTCATGTTAATGTTTTTCATCATCGTTTAAACTTTTAGGGTTAAACAAACTTTTTCAAAACCATCAATCTTATATGCAAATACGGGAATCGGCCACGGTTTGATCTCAAAGGAGTTCGTTTAACACCACCTTTTAAATTGTATAATTTAGGAAAAACAACAGTATACTTCAATTTTTATTTATGTTAGGGGCCGTTTACCTAAACACTTACCCGGTAAACACTTACCGGTAAAATTCAACACTATCGTTTACTTACCAAGTAAGATTTTATTCACTAAAACGAATCGTATGCAACAATTTATTCCGGTAAGCGTTAACCATGGTAAGAGTCGTCATCCTCACTTACCGGGTAAGATTTTTGATTATTGTTTTCGCTCTTACCGAGTAAGATTCTTAGTCGTTGTCATATTCATCCGGTAAAGTAAAGTGACTCGGTAAACTCTTACTCGGGTAAGGTTTTGGTAAACGACACCTTAGTCAACGTGTTTGTCTATAAAATTTATTGTATTCTAACTGAATTTAACGAACAAATCAATTGTATTGGTGTCCCTCTGTTTATAACATAAGTGGCCGAAAAACAGCTTTAAATACATAAAAATTAAAGTATTTTATTGGGCAAATTGAATGGAATATAACCTACTTTGACATGATTCATATATGGGGTAATGTAGTTTCAAAACCTTCATTTTGATACATAAGATGTAAAATCTCAAATATTTAAGTATCCATTTATTTAAATTGAGGGTATTTTTTTCTTTTAATTTCCTTTAGAAAAATAATATATTAAACTTTTATTGTACAATTGCTCAAAGCATTAGTACAAGTATTGAAACATTAAACCATAACTCTTTTTAACGTAAAAACATGGACCACTACAAGAAACAAGGCTTTTACCAACGACTTTTGTCGTTGCTAAAAGTTCATTTATCATCAGAAAGAGTAAATAACAACAACATGTCATTGCATACGCCCGTGACCCCCTCCCTAGGGACGGCCCTGCATAAACCCACTTCGCAAAATTCAATCTTTTTGAAGCCTTGGGAGGCAAAGGCCTCCGTAATGGAGAAGAAGGCCTTCAACAAGAACATGACCTTTGAAAATGTATCTGAAACTGCATTTGGGGAGGAGTTATTAAGGCTAACCGATGGATTCCGAGGTGGTGAAAAGGGCCTCAAAGACTTCATCGAGAAAAACCCACCTCCTAGAAAACCACCGCCACCACCATCATCAACAAATGCAGCTGGTGACCTTTTTGGATTCGTCTAGCCGATGTTAGGCTCTAACTCGCCGCCTCCAACGGAGGATATATGGGCAGAGAGACGGATTGTTCTAGAGTATCAAGTTTCTAAAGTGGTAGATCTTAACTATGATACCATGTGAGAATATATGAAATCTCAAAAGAGTCATTAAGAAAGACAAGAGAGGTTCCAACATATATTGAGGAGAAATGATACAAGTCTGGTCGATATGGAACTCTAAATATAATCTTGTTTCATATAAGCATTTCTCTATATGGTTTTTGGAGAAATATATAAAACTTGATAAATAAATAACAACATTAAGCCCCAGAATTGCCGCTGTTATGTCTGGAATGACTGCTTTTGTGAAGAATCCAAATAGTCCTTACCATATGTATTGTGGGATTGTGTAAAGGATTACAACGTAACTCTTTACCTCTAAATGGTGGTTTGAATGGGGGAAACAGGGTCATGATTAGGGGTGTGCAAAACTCGAGTTATCTGAAATCCAAATCCAGATTTGAACTAAAAATAAGGTATTTATGTAAAAGTTGAATGCCCCAAAATTCGAAAACCGACTTTTTGGCGGAAAATTCGGGTTCGGGTTGAGTTTGATTTTTGGCCACCCGATTTATCCGAAAACCTGAAATATATATACATATATATTTTAAATACTATATAAATATACTTATTTATCTAATTATGTTTTAAAATTCTAAAAACTTTAGTCAGTCGTATTTTTTTCTAATTTCTAAGCATACTATCGATTTATCAATCCTTTAAATCGAATGAATTCATCGTCAAAATCGACTATATATATATATACGTATATATATACTTTTTGCATTATAACTAAACTCGAACCCAACCGACCTCAACCCAAAACCCGACCAACCTGAACCCAAAACAATCCGAAATCCAAAATTTGGGGCTTGATTTTCATATCCAAAATCCGATCGAGTTTTTGATTTTTTTGTCCAAATCCACCTGATCCATTCAATGCACACCCCTAGTTATGATTGGTAGCTTTTTACGAGGAAAAGAATTAAAAGGAGTTATAGTTTAATGTTTCAATACTTGTACCAATGATCTGATAGAAGTTTAATATATTATTTTTTTAAGAAAAATAAAAAAATAATTAAAAACAAAAATACTCTTCAATTTAAAGAAACAAGTACTTAAATGTTTAAGATATTACATCTTAATTCTCATGTACCAAAATGAAGGTTTTAAAACTACATTAGATTACCTAAAATATGAATCATAACAGAGTAGATTACATGGGTGTTTGAGATTGCTTATAAA